AACAAGAGTCCTGGTGCCTGAACTCACTTTGTAGACCAGGCTGGCCTCAAACTCAGAGATCTGATCTGCCTGACTCTGCCTCCCAAGTGCTGGAATTAAAGGTGTGCATCATCATGCCTGGCTTTGTGGGTTCTTATAATCTCACTATTTGGAAGGCTGCTGTGAGTTTAAAGCCAGCCTTGTCTATATATAAAGTCAAGCTCTATCTCACAAAAAACAAGTCCACTTTTTTATATATTTCAAGCTGTCAATTCTGGTGCAAGAAAACTGTGCTGTTTTTTTTTTCTTTTGATACATTGTATTTACATTGTATTTTCAAATTGATGGGCAAAGTTATAATTTCATATCAGGGATACAATACATGTATTGTAGCTAGGTCATAGGGCCCCAGATGTAAGGTAGCTTGCCTAATGAAAGCTGCTTCCACTCTCAGCTCACCTCTGTTAAAACTATCTTCATTTCCACTTGGGTTGTGGGTATCTCTGCCTTTCTTGCCACCTCCGAAAGTGGAGTGATTATGGTCTCCCTTCTCTAACCGCAACTCTGCCCAGTAGTTTAACTGACCAGCAGCCACGTGTCACTCACCTATAAACAACAGCAAGCACACTGGTGCAAAGCAAGAAAGGGAACAAGATACTTGCGGCAGCTGAAGATTTCCGATTTGGAAGCTTAAATAAAGAAGCCCACAAGTTCAGAGGGGGATGAGTAGCACAATTTTGTGTGGGGGATCCCTATGATATATGCATGGTATTTTTAGCCAGTCCCATAGTTTAAATGTGTATATGGCCTAAAGCAGAAACACAGGAAACAGTAATTAGAGGCAGGAATAATATTTTACTAGAGTGTTTGAGAAGAACGGTTACAGACAGAACAGGAAAGGAATCTCAAAAGTCAAATGGGAAATTACAGCAGGGACTCAGCTGGGCATGTGGTACATATCTTTAATCCCAACACTCAGGAAGGCAGAGGCAAGTGGATCAATGTGAGTTAGAGGCCAGCCTAGTCTACAAAGTAAGTCCAGGACAGCCAAAGCTACACAGAGAATCCCTGTCTCAAAAAAACAAAGCAACAACAACACAACAAAAGAAAAAAAAAAAAAAGAAGAAGAAGAAGAACAACAACAACAACGGAGCAGGGACTTAACAGAGCAAGACCCTGGTATTATAAAGCTGAAGCGGAATGATCCAGTGACATAAAGGCATAAATATAAGGGCACCACCATTCCTAGTTGTTGGCTTCTTGACAAAATCATAACTTGTTCTGCCTTCTACAGACTGAAACATGACTAAAATATGTTATGTCGCTCCCCAAAAAGTGTGTAAGTAAAAACCACTAGACTTAGATGTAGCAGCAGCAGCAACAGCAGGAGGCATGACGCACTTGACTCCTGCGCAACAGCACCAAAGCACTCTATTCTATTGTGAGACAGGTAGCAGAACCCTTAGTAACATTAGGGACACGGGCCAACTAGCTCTAGCTCTGAAGCTACAGAAGAGTCTCCCATTTTCTACGTAATCCCTGATCTTCTCTTCCAGTTCTTCCGATACCTTTCTAACGGAAAGGTATGGCTTTCCATGTGTGAAGTACGTCTTCAGTTTCATGAATGGATGCTGACTCAAAGTATTTGGTGGCAGTGTTGTCCCAGGCTAGTCTCTCAAAGATGAAATTCTGAATTTAGTATACCCAGAAAATCTTGGGTTGACTGTTTAAAACATCTCCATTTGTCACTGCATACAAGGCAGGTACCAAAGAGTTAAAGCCCATGTAGGTCAGAACCAACCTGTAATCCCCAGGGTTGTCAGTGCTGTCAAAATGCTGCTGCTGCTGGGGAGCCCAGAAACCAATCAAACAGGTGACTACAACCATCCCAGCTCTTTACCTTCTGTACCAAAACAGAAACAGGGATAGTAGGCAATAAACAATATAACATGAATAGTAACAGGGATTTAATAATGGGAGGAGAAAAGCTGACAGATTAGAGAAGGGAAAGGAAAAGATTTTTAATGGTTAAATCAAGCTTTGAGCAAGAAGGCCTTTTTTGCTATGTGCCCATATAAGCAACAGGATGCAGCTGGGAATCTAGAAAGCCAGCACACTGGATGAAAGCTGGAGGTGAACAAACAAATGGTAGGCACACTAAAGAAAATGGCAAGGCCTTCCAAAGGCAGATCTGGAAGAGCCCACACACAGAGCAAACCTGTTAAGACTACATATAAAGTTCACATTGGGAATTGACTTAACTGCGAGAGATTTTAAAGATTCAGTATGGAAAGTATCAAAGTCTTCAGTTCTACAATTAAATGACTAATGATTGACTAAATCATTTTAAAACTTAATTGTAAGTGACCAAGAAGTAGATATATCAGGGTGATCTAGAATAAGAGACTGCATTGTCTGAGAACGTATTTTCTAAGTTAGACACTCACCAAGGGCACTTGTTGCATCCTCAAAAAGATTTGACCGGGAAGAATCTCCTGGTGTACTGTAAAGAGTTTTGAGAGAAATTTCAAAAGTATGTCAAAATCAAACTATTACAGTAACAAAATTTCTAAAGAATTCTTTATGTATTAAAGTCTGGGGGTAACACAGTCTCTGAAGCGACGTTATCCAAAGCTTTACCTTTAAGATTTATGGTTAAGGAAAATTTTTCAATCTTAAAGAGTACTTAAAGAAAGGCCAACAACAACAACAAAAATCCCACCAATGCTTTTAAAGAAAAGTTGCTCTATGACATATGAAAACGATGCTGCAGTTAAGATAACTTATCAATCAAATCATTACTAAAGAAATGTCAAAAGTAATACATGATAAAAGCATCACATGTAGAAACCAAACGAGACTGCCAAGTCTTTCACAGTGAAGCTTTTTAAGTTTTCAATAATAGGGAAAGAACACATATCAGTTATATAACAAACACACACACATACTGAAAAAAATCAATTTTAGGCATAAGGTCCTAGGTTAATCCCCAGCATAAACACAAACACACACACGAACATATATTTCTGTTCTGTTGTGTAATCAGATTAAGTTCCAAATAAAAGTCTGACAAATTAGAAAACACCACGGAGATGCTGACAGTGGATATAAAAAATCATGTGTAAATATAGACAAAGTAGAAGTGAAGTCATTTAGAGGAATGAAGGGGACAAATGGCAGAAGCAATATGAGGGAGGGTAGTTACGGGTGGAGTTCTGCTAGGTGCACAATATTTATTTATGAATATTAAGTAACAAAGTAATTATCGTTTTTACTTTATTTTAGTATCCCTGAGTGTACGTACGTGCACCACATGTGTAGTGCCTTGGAGGTCAGAAGATGCATTAGATCTCTTGGGCCTGGAGTCACAGACAGGTGTGCCACCATGTAGGTGCTGGAAACTGAATCTCATGTCCTCTGCCGGAGCAACTAGTGCTCTTAACTGCTAGGCCATTTTTTCAGTCTGCTATTACAAATTTTTAAGTAACAGCACTTCATACATTCGCACATTGCTTCAGTTTCAGTTCTGAACTACATTTACAAATGCATCTGTGTATCTGTGTGGACACAGTGCACACCTAGGGCAAAGGACAATGCAAAGGGACTGCTTCTCTTCCTCTATCACATGGGCAAGTGAATCAAAACTCATGTTGTCTGGCTTGGAATCAAGAGCCTCTACTCACCAGCATCATTCCAACTTTAAAAACCAAAACACAGCCAGACACCAAGTTCTAGTTAGGTATATGTCTACAGGGCTGTCTATCCTGTCCAGCAACCCAGCTAATGCTAATGTGAGCGACTCAGACACTAAGTCACCACTGTGGATGATACAGTTTAGAATCTGGGAGGCTTGATCTCCAGAATCATTTGGACAATTTTCACGATATCTTAAAAATCTCTTTAAGCACTAAAAGTTGTGGTGTACTTTAAACAGTACTCTTCAATCTTAATCCAATCTCACTTCTTTCCTAAACTACAGAGACAATAACTAAGTGTACCAGACCATCACAATTTTCCTATTCATTAAAATGCATGCCCAGACCAGAGATGGCTCAATGGGCAGAGATTCTTGAGTTTCATGCCTAGGTACAAGGAGAACCAACTCCCACAAGCCTATACTCTGACTTCTACATGCATGCCATAAACAAAAAAGAAAATGCAATAAAAACTGTAAAAGACATACTCCTGGAAAATGTACAATGTTGCTCTGTAGTACTTAGTTTCTGCCTCTGGCTTATGCTGTTCTATAGCCACTCTCATATAACAGGAAGTCCTGACTGGGCATGGCAGAACACTGCTGTCCTCTCAGCACTCAGGAGGCCTGCTCCACAGTCAACAGCAGCAGGGTAAGATAATATTTGAGTCGACTCTAATGTGTCCTTGACCAGCAACACTGACATCACAAAGCACAAGGGAAGTTTCTTCTTTCCTTTTTTATTCCTTTTGAGATTTAATGTATTTTCCTACATGGATGTCCATGCACCACATGTGTGCCTGGTGCTTGAGAAGGCCAGAAGATGGTATCAGATCCCCCAAGACTGGAGCAACTGACACTTGTGAAGAAGCACTATGTGAGTGTTGGGAATTGAACCCAGGTCCTCACTGAGTTAAGCCCACAAGTACAGTTTCTTTATGGCGGTAATCACTAGCACAATCTGTACTGCTAACAGGTAGGTTTTGAAGAACAAAACTGACCTGAAAAAACAAATCACAGAAAATGGTGGCCAGCAGTAATGGAGAAGCCCAGAGTATACCTGACTCCTATTCACCAAGTATTGCACTTTGAGAACACATTTATCTTGTTTCCTAGAACGTCTGTCACTCTCCTTGAAGATACACATTTGAGAAAAAAAGACTGAGTAGCTAAGTATTCGCTTCAGCAGTACATACCCTAAAACTGAAACAATACAGAGAAGACTAACATGGCCCCTGAATAATGATGACATGCAAATTTGTGGATTAAATGCAAAAAGGACTAAGTAACTAATATATTAAGTCCAACTAAGAAGTCTGCACTCATCCGGGCATAGTGAAGAAAACCTTTAGTCCCAGTACTCTGTAGGCAGAGGCAGGTGGATCTGAATTCACAGCTAGCCTCCTCTACACAGAGAAATCCTGTCTCAAAAAACCCAAACAAAGTTTACAGCGTGCTTTCCTAGATCACTAGGCATCCTTTCCTAAGTTATGTAACTCTCTAGAGACCTAAAATAATTAACTTAAATATTTCTTTCTTTGGCAATGTATGTATGCATGCATGTATGTATTTAATATAATATGTATGAGATAAACTTATAAAACTCTCTGGAAACATAAAAGTTAATTTAAAAATTTCACTTTGGCAATACATGTATGTCAGTATGTATTTAACATATCTTGATCATATAAACCCAACTCTCTGCTATTACCAGCTGTCCCTCAACTCTCCCCCTCCAAGCTTCATGACCCACTGAGTCTAATAGTACTACTACTACCTATATGTGCATGGGTGTGATGCCATCCACAGCGGCTTGGGAAACCTATCAGTGGCTCCTTGCACATGGAAAAATGATTCCCCTTCCCAAGCAACCATCTTCTGCCAGTAGCTCCTCAGCTAGGGGTGGGGCCGCATGAGTACCTCCCACCTATGCTGGAATGCTGAATGGCTTGAGTTTATGAAAAAAAAAAAATCTAATATTAGCACATTAGTACACTGTTCAGATATGAGATGCTCACACAGTGAGTTTTATAAGGATATTAAGAAAGTCACTGTACTACTGACTAAAAACATTAAATTTATAATAACTAAATTGTTTGGGGAATTCATTTGTCAAATTCCTAAAATCCTTTCCACACAGACTTTGATGAAATAGTTTAACCTGATTCTGGTGATCTTCTAGTGTGCAAGAGAGCAGAATGCATTCTAGTTATATACGGGAAAAAGGGTTTAAATTAGGCAATGGTGCCATAGATGCTGAAGAAAAGTATTCTAAAAAAATAATTACATTCCCTAAACTTTGTGCTACTTTCTCAGAAACAAGCAGGAGATTCTATACTCTTCCAAAACACAACTGACATGGTTAGACAAGGAAGCCACATTTAGAAGTAGAACACTAAAACAAAAGGGTTTCATAACCCATTGTCTAACAGTACTAAAACCTGTAGGTAGAAGCAATTCATAAACTGTGTCATTCTGAACAGCATGAAATACTGTGCTGCCAGCTTCTACCCAAGTCATGAAGCCATCTTTGCCCATTATATTCATGCTATAAATGCCACTTGTCTATTGGTCCCTTAACAGTATCAATTACTAGAGCCTCCATTGAAGTGCCTGTCACAGCATCATGTTTAGGAAACCTTGATTTTATGAATGCCCCAAATGAACGAGCAGTGATGCTGAGGAATGAAATACACCAGAATTTCTTTTAAGTGAGTGGATATAAGATCTCTGGAGGAAGGGGTGCAGAAGACAGAAGAGAAACAGACTGGGACATCTACAGGGATATCCGACATGTTAAGAGAGCACATTTCCAGGTGGGCCTGGTGGCACACGCCTGTAATCCCAGCACTCTGGGAGGGAGAGACAGACAGATCTCTGTGAGTTCGAGGACAGCCTGGTATACAAAGCAAGTGCAGGACGGCCAAGGCTACACAGAGAAACTCTGTCTCGAAAAACCAAGAGAGAGAGAGAGAGAGAGAGAGAGAGAGAATATTTCGAAGAACTTACTTTTGGTGACAGAGTCTCTCTACATAGCCCTGGCTGTTCTAGAACTCAGAGATTCACCCACTTCTGCCTCCCAAGTGCTGGGATTAATGATGTGGACAATTATGCCCAGCTCAAGGAACTTTCTTTGAGATAAAAGCGTGCTATTTAGGTCCATACTGCCTTTGAACTTGTAATCCTTCTGCTTTAGCCTCTGGAGTGCTCTGCTTAGTCATGGGCCACAGAGTTGGCTCACATGCAACTTTCAATCCAGTATTTTTTTTTAATTGTTGTAATTTCATTAGTCATTAATCTTTTAGTAAGGCTAATTTATGGATTAAACTTCATCAGGGACATGTTTGTTTAGGAAAACACAGCATAAAGAGTTCCCTTTGTGTGGTTTCAAGTATCCGCTGGACATCTGAAACATATCCCTTGTATAAGGGAAAAACCTGTTTATACTGCTATGAACACCATAAATCTTTTCCATGCTTTCAAAGAATTGCTAATCACTGCCCGTTTTCCACAGTGACCAGCTCTGATTTTAAGTTCACAAAGTTTCTGCTACTCATGTTCTAAATCGTACTAAGCCAGAGAACAAAAATAGCTTAGTGCCAGTTTCAGGTTGGCAGTAATACAACTCATATTTTAGATAACACAGGAAATCCCTTCTGTGATTTTCAGCCAAAATCACTATGACTAAAGCATTTGCTTTGGTCATTATCATTATCAATATCAATAAAGGAACATCCTACCACCGCAAAACAGAATCCTGTCAAAACAAAAAACCCCAAACTGCTCAATGATCCTCACTGTAATTCTTACCTCCTCCCTCTCGTTTGATTTACCAGGTCTGAGGAAGGAATAATGAGTGACTTTGGAAGGAATGAAGCAGCAGCTCTGGCTAATAGGCTGAATCTAAGAGTTTTATACAAAAGCCACAGGTGCCATCTCCTATAACAGCACTTTGAATAAATGAATTCATACTGTTTAGAGCTGTTGGTTCAACAAGGAGTTAGATGAAACAGCAACTACTGTAACTCTTAGCAGTCACTGTGTACACACACCACTTTCCACTTGCTTTACACTGTCTTAGTATGACCCATATTTTATAGATGAGGAAAACACACAAAGATCTTAATTATACTTTTCTATAATTATCAAAGCTAACAAATGTCAGAGCAATACAATACAGCAACTGACTTTTTTATTGATATGAAAGGATGTTTATATTACATATATAAAAATGACCACAATCACAACAAATATAAAAATGACTGGCTGCCAACATTTTAATTATTCTTTTTTAAATTTGTATTTCTTAAACATCTCTTCCAATAAAGATTTTTTAAAAATTGAGAATGTAAAAATCTGCATAAAGACTGTATGCCTATATTATTATTAATAGTAAACTATAAAAATAGATAAAGCCGGCTGGGAAGATAGCTCAGTTTATAAACAACCTGCTATGCACGCATAAGAACTTGATTTCAGGTCCCCCAAAGCCATGACAAAGTAGGGTGTAATGGCATGCCCCTGTCATTCCAACACTGTGAGGATGGCAAAGGGTGGACCCCGAAGAGTCACTGCATAGCCTAAGCCAAACTGGCAAGCCAAAGACCTGATCTCAAATAAATAAGGTGGAGAACAATAGAGGAAGACACATCACATCAGTCCGTGTGCTCCCCACACTGGTGGGTACACATACACATTCAACATAAAAAGACAAGCCCAATTCAGAGTACATTTAAAAAATAAAATGTGATATGGTAGTCAGCCTGACTTTGAAAAAATTAAAAAATGTGACAACTTTGTGATCTAATTTTTAAAATGTAGTCCTTACCTGTCAGCTGGTGTAGGGCTAGTAACCACTGGTGTCTGTGCTGGCTTTTCTGCAGGTTTCTCGGGCTGAGTTGCACTGGCAGGTGTGGGCTCAGAAGATGCTGTAGCTGAGGCTGGAGTAGTAGATGCAGGTGTGGTAGTGGGAGCCAAAGCAGGTGTGGAAGTTGGAGCCGGAGCCACCACTGCTGCTGTGGAAGAGCTAACTGCAGCAGTGGTGGGGGTGTTTGATTGCTGAGCCGTAGCTGGCACTGGTGCTGGCACTGCTTTGGGCTGGATGTATTAAAAACAAAGTAAACACACGGCGCTGTGTGGCCACTCACTGTACTACCATAGCTACAAGATCAACCTAATACTCAGGGCAGCCAAGGCTACACAGAGAAACGTAATTTTGTAAAATGCCAACATTAGCAAATGAAAGCAATTCACTACCTCTCAAAGTTCCTAAGATGATGTACACTGTCTTAACTATCAAGTGCAATTAGCATCGGACACTCATTTCAGTATTTACAATTCAGTATGAAAAAGAACCCAAAAGAAGTCACTGTTTTAAATGCAGGCTACACACAGCCAAAGTACCATATAGTTTTCTACAAATCTTTACTTATGCACCTTGCTTATAACTTTTAACAAGTATATCACCACTTAAAAGCATCATCAAAATAATTTTTTGAGGGCTGAACTCTTAAGTAGATTGTTTATAAAGATTCCAAATAATCTGCTTTATTTTAGGAGGAAAAAAAGCCCTATTGCTGCCTGTAAAGCAACAGATGTAAGTAAAAGAAGGACTAGAAACATAAACACACAGCAAAACAATTTATGATCATATGCCTGGTAATTGCTCAACTAAAAGCACAGCCATAAAGCCTTTCATGCAGCAAATGGATAAAAATCATACTGAATTTTACTCTATGTGAGCCCTATTAGTATTCAGTCTGTAACCTTTGGTGGACTTAAGTCAACTATTTTAACTGAAGATGGGCTTAAAATTGAGCATACTCTCCCACAATTCTAAATCAGAAGGCACAAAAGCAGTGAGCTGAACTATGTTTTGCTCAACATGAGCTAGCAACTGTTGGGGGAGGCTAACAAACTAGCGCGGGCTCAAAGGAGACTTTAAAAAAAACACTGCTGGCATGTACTCCATTTTCCTTTTGTAAACCTTAACTGCCAATATAAAAGTGTGAAGATTATTTTGCCACATCCTGGCATCTCTTTAAGGTTCTAAATCTGCAATGGGTTAAAATCCTTCACATGAATTACTCTAGATAAAATGGAACATCACACAAATGTGCAGATTTTAATTTTTAAGCATCAAAATATTGTAATAACTAATCTCCATGAAATGTGTATTAGCATCAGTTAATGCATTTAGTATTTAATTATTTGTGAGCCATTCTGAAAAGAGCTATTTAAGTCTAATTACCAAAGCACCATGACCTCTGCTTTTTAAAGG